TTTTCTGTAATTATTTCATTCGAATTAGAAGAAATAATTAAGAGTTGTAAAAAACTGCATGGCCTATAGAGCAATTTAACCCTACTACAAGAAGATTAAACATGCTAAAAAAATTATATTTTTTATTTATAAATTGTATATTTTATTATAATTCGACCTCCCCATAAAAAATAAGAAAAAATTTAAAATCGACTGAGTCTGCTCTAACTTCCTAATTTGTATTTATTTTGATTTATACTTCCAAGTAATTAAATACTCTTCATCATTGATAATTTTTTCATATTAACTATCAGTTCCAAAATGAATAGATAAATCGATTATAAACCCTCAATTTTTTTTCCTTATCAAATTGAGATATTATCAAAATACATAACTAGAATGATCAATAATTATTTATTAATATAACCACTCATTCTTGTTATCCAAAATTTAATAGTTTCATCATAACTTTCAGAAATAATTAGATCTTCATAATTTTTGTTACTACGCATTCATTGTAATGGTATGTTTCGTATAATATTTATTATAAACTCCATAAATTATTTTGTATTATTTTGAATCAAATTTGATATAAATTAATATCGACTGTATATATTCTTAAATTATTAAATAATCTAATGCATTTATTATTGGAATCAAGTTGATTATTTAAAACAAATTTAATTGAATCTAATTTTCAATGATTTAAAATAAATCGTACAATTGATCTCACTTCTTGGAAGCTTATCAAAAAAAGTTATGATTTCAATTTTTTAATTTCAAAATTTATTTTATGCAAAATAAACATTTAATCGTTCTACATTCTCTCTATCTATATTATTGTGATATAAAATCTATTTTAGGATTAAAATAAAAATTTTTGGTTATATTTATTGATATTAGCTTTATCTAAAATATAAATTCTCTTGTGATTTTAAGAAGGTTTATCGCTAATTCATCTTCAAGATATATGAAACAATAAATCAATTTTTTTTGAGTATTATAAGAAGCAATCAAATAATAATTCTAAACTTGTTTCTTAATCTTAAATTCTTTTTTTCTTTTCTAGGCTTTCTCTTTTTACTAAATCCCATGTTTTTTTAGTGTTTATAAAAATAACTATTTAAAATTAGAGGATATTAAATACACGAAAAAAAAAATTTGGATCATTATTTTATTGATATATTATTATAAACTGATTTTTGATAAAATCTTGATAGAGAAAATCGTTATCCTTGATTTCCATCAACTTGCCATTTAAGAATTATCATCTATTCATATATTTATAACTTTAAATTTGTGTTGATTCCTCATTGTATTTCAAATAAATTAAGATTTATTAATCAGGAAAAAAATGATCAAACATAAATTTGGTATTTTATTTAAAATACATTAAGTACACAATTATCAATTATGAATTCTATGTTGTTTTTTGAAAGAGAATTTACAATTTTCAACTCATCTAATATTCAAATAAATAGAATATTTTATTTGGATTTAATATCACAATATCATTCAATAAAAAATCTATAATAAATAAAAATAATATGATTTTTAATTATAGCGATTGTGACAGCTTAAAGACTGAATATTAGCGACCCTAATTGCAATAAATATGTAAGCAAATATGGATACTACTAAGTTGGTCTTCACTGGGAATACCTCATTTGTTAAAGGAACTACCTATGTCAAAGAAAAACTTAGATATTCAGATGCGAATCTATATATATTAGAGTTCTCAATCAATTCGAATTCAGAGAGAACATTCAAGAATATTTAAAAATAAAATGACGACTATTACATAATCTGACAGCTTTGATTGGTGATAATGTAGTTGCTGAATTGATAGCTCAATGTTACATACAGTTCAATATATGTTTTCATAAGCATTTGTTTATTTAAGAATAAATAAAGATTAGAAGAGACAAATTTAACTTCCTTATTTTTATAAAGCAAGGCAATAAACTATGACATTTTATCAAAACTTAATTTTAATTTTAATTTATCTATAATTATTTGACTATTTAAAAAATAAGAAAATAAATACATTTGAAATTAAAAAAAAGCTCTTATAAAATTAGGAAAATTTGATTACTTAACTTTATAATGGTTTTTTAATGCATGATATACCTCTATTACAATTAAGACAAGCAAAATGACAGAATTACTTCAACCATTTTGTTCAAATTTATTCCCAATGTCACATTATTGTATCCTTTGATTTATCCATCTTTGCAAATGGGAATATATTGTTATACTTTATTATCATAGGTCTACTAAAAACTGTACAATATTAAACACATTAATAATTGCATTCATAGCATCCATCATAAAGTACACATCATCCTCACATTATTCTAACCGAAAATTTAACCATCTTCTAATGATGTTAACCGTTATTTACTTCACATTAGGTGCATTATCCATATTTGCAAATTATACATTATTATTGGCAAGAATATTAACATTGAAAACAATCCATCTTCATCAATACATTTATCAAATTCACAAAAATAATTATTTTAATCGCATAACATTCTTTTTCTAACAAATAAAAACCTCTTTGACATTGTTGAATACCAAATGAGGAATTTTCCCAATTATAAGGATAAACTATTTAATAACTTAAGGAGATTTCATATTATTCTTAACCAACTATAATATAATCAACACACATACTTTCACAAATATATTCTACTTCATTCCAATATCATCCACTTTAATATTAAAAACGATCTATTTAAATATAAATTAATTTCCCTTTAACATTCTTTTAAATAAACTAATTATAATTTTAAATTTAAATTTAAATTATAGCTCTATAATCAGAAATACACATTTTAGAAAGGAGAGTACAAACTGTGATGAACAACTTTGATATAATTATTGCAATTTTCAGTTCAAGAATATTTGCATTCATAACTTCCATCGTATGGTATGTAGTTACCATCATCAAACTTTCCATATTAACAGAGCAAATTATCTAATCAAATAGTAATCAATTTTCACATAAAATGAATTATCCATTTACACGTACTTATCAATGAGATTAGAAATCATATTGACATGAAAACCAATCATCAAAACCATTAAGATTATCATCATCACAAACTTCACAGTCTTTAGTAGTTTAATTACCAAAAATATTTTCATATCCATTTTGATATGATATAAAAATTCCTTTATCTCGATAAATAATATTTAAATTGATATCACATTCTTCTAATCCTGAAATAATACCATCTCCAAATTTGGTTTTATATCATACTTCTAAGAAGTTTTTAATATTTTACAAATTAAGAAAAAAAATTAATTAAATTAGCAGTAAATCAAGATTTACATTGTTGACGTAATCTAAAATAAAATTTGAGCATTCATTTAACATTTAAAAAAATATTGGCTACATCCTTTATATAATTAAGAATTAGAATCTTCACTAATAATTTAATTTCCCCATTAGCTGTAAGAAGAAATTATTTGATGACCTGAATCAAATTCACATTATGGTGAGCATTATGGCTTGCAACTAATTCATCCGTGTATTAATTCTATTATTATCATCAAAAGGAATAATGCTAACATCACATTATTCATCACCTAAAATAATCTAATCAGCAGAAATCGGTAACCGTTTATATTAACGAAAACCAAATAAGCATTTTATACAATTTTTTCACTTTAATGAGAACATTATTCTAACAAAATTTTTATCATCAAAGGATTGAGATTTAGTAAAACTTCCATCTTCACAAATAGGCAGATATTTTCTGTGCTAAGATAATGATTTGATTTAAAATTATAAGAGATTCTTGATGCACATGTTGAACATTCAGCTTAACATTTATTTTACACTAATGATCGGTCTTCAAATGTGTTATCGTCATTATCGCATTATTCATTAATTGGAGTTATTACATAATCACATATAGGATTACACTTATTAAATAAAGTACATAAATTGATTTTCGATTCATAAATTGTGAAGATATCAAAATATAATTTCATTTACAGATTTAGGAGATGAAAAAACAAAAATACAATAATAATTTTTATAATATATTATACTG